TATTCCTTGTCACCATCCGATTATATATTACTAGTACCCCGGAATACGTTCAGCTGTAGTGTCGTACCAACAATTCAGATGTAATACAATTCCTTATTTAAGTACCTTGATGCGCATCCACCTCACTCGAGACTCTACCTCAACACATGAGTTGACAGGTGGCGTCTGTTCTGTGGTTTTCAGCAAAATTTATGTGGCAGGAATGTGAACTCTGCGAACATCAGTTCGAAAATGCTACTACAGTATGTTAGTACTAACTATCTGTGTAGACAGTTATACAAAGTTCGAAACAAGCGACAACGGAAGAACTTTTCGACGTTGCATCTTTGTCCCAGCATGCTTTGTGAACTGCGTCGACATGTGCAAAAAACTGGTTACGCTGGATGGGTGCCACCTGAAGGGTATAACAGTAAGCCCGGGGAATTCCTGGCTGCTAGTATGAGAGACGGGTCCAACGAGAACCTCCTCGTGGCACTAGCAATTGTGCCCATTGAGAGCGAAGTCGAATGGACATGGTTTCTCCAATAGCTTAAACAGTCGAAGTTGAGCATCCCTGCACGATTTTTGTTTGTATCCGATCGGTGGAAAGGTGCGAACCTATCCTACTGTGTCGCACATGATAGCTTTCGTGTAAGTGACACTATTTAGGGCTAACCAATGCCATTCGTATCGAGTTTCCTGAGAGCTGGAACCGGTTCTGCATGTATCATGTGTTCAACAATATCCGCACCAAGAAGATTGCAGTCAATGACTTGGACAAGACGACAATTTACGGCGTAGCAGACGCACGTTCCAAGGATGCGTTCGAATCGTCGATGCTCACGCTCAAGGCCAATCTTCCCCGGGCGTACCAGTACCTCGTCGACATTCAACCTGGAAGCGAAGGATGGGTTCAGTATTAATTGTAAGTAAGCAATTGGTCGTTACCTATCTTGTCAACCTTGTCAAGTGCACATCACAGCTGTAACGTTAACATTGTAAGTATGCTTCAATTTTTAATTCGAGTTCACGAAGTCATCCGGATGACAAATCCGGATACGAACGGCACATCACTCCCACCAACGATCCAAACGCAACAGAATGCCAAGCAATGTCGTGCCCCATAGGGAGCAACGTCAAAAGACCCGCGCTCAGTAGTCGTGGGCCCGCTTCGGCCTGCCGATTGATTTGCTGAGCCGGATACCGGCGTCCGTCTCTGTCTATGGGAGTGCCAGGCATTGTAAGGTATTATGTTGTCGTGATATTGCGCAAGCAAACCACCGGTCAAAAATGCTTATACATTCAAAATGAACCTGCCTAACTGACGATTCTGTAGATTGGTTTGAGCCATCAAGGTCAACTGACTCGTCAAGAATGTCGGAGGTATCGTCCAATTCTTGAATGAAATCATCACCATTTGGCATTTGACGTAGCTTCGACATCAAGATTGCCGCCGACTCCTCTTCCGCGGCTGACGTTGGACTTGCAGTTCCTTCGTGAACAGGTACTTCCGCACCATTGATGAGATTGCACTTGACAAAACCACGTACAATCGTAGACTTGGGCATTGCTTCCCACGCTTCGTTGACCCATTCAACGAGATTGTCGCGAGACGGTGGTCGCAACTTGAATGAAGGTTGCACTTGATCTGTCTTGGTTTTGTATTTCATGGCGCAGATATGTGACCCAACGAAGGCGCATGGACGCTTTCAACGGCTTCATCCAAGCAACGTCGGCCGGTTGGCAAACCCGCTTGAAGGTAGGTGGATTCTTCTCGAGCAATACGTCCAAGGATTCGGCGCAGGCGACCACGTCGTCACTGAAGTGGGTGCTGAAGTCGTCCCACAATAGTAGGATTTTCTTCATGTTTTTGTCCTTGCGGTATCCAAAGTAGTACTGAGAAATTCCTAGGAAATGTGACCATTCCACGATGCCGTACGGTTGCCGTACAAGCGCGATGCGTGGCGTTCATGGAGTTCTTCAACCTCGGGGCACACCACAGGGCCAAATCCGTTCCGCTTGGTGAGGTTCTCGACGACTGTTGCCTTCACCTTTGGTGCTCTTGACTTTAGGACCAAGAACATGGGGTACTTCGTTCCCTTGTTGTCGGCGAGCAGCATGGCCGTCATCCTGTCCTTTTCGTGGCCGGAGCAGCGAATCCACCCGGTATTGGCCCCGCAGCGATCAATGGCGTGTTTGGGGATGTACTCAAAGTTGATTCCGGTTTGATCGGCATTGTAGATGTCGTCGATGGCTTCCGTTTGCACCAACTGGCGGATTCGGTTGCTGAACGCTGCTAGAGCCGCCTCCCCTCGTTCTAGATTAGACTGCCTGGACCTTGAGACTTGGCCCGCATAGCTAGTTTCCAACGCTTGATAAAGCCCGAAATCCACGATGGGCTTTCCTTGAACCGATTGTCGGTCAAGCCGAGGTCTTTAGCCACCTCCAGTGCCTTGCATTGCAAGAGGAACTTGCTTACTGGGATACCCTCAGATCGCATATCGCACACCCATTGCGGAATTTGTTCCTCATATTCACTTGATAAGGTGGTTGCACATCCAGCGGGGCGACAGATGTTCTGGGTTGTAGTCGCTGGGATGTTTGCCATCTTGGTGATGTGGGGGCGGTTGTGTTCCCATCGCAGCACACGTTTGAAGGCTGACGACCGAGCAATCCCTTCGGCGCCCCAGAAAAAAGTGTCCAAAGCCGAGTCCATGGAATGCTGCTTCCGCCAATTGATGATGTGGAGCTGCTTGGCGTAACTAAAGTAGTGCCGTCGGTGCTGTGGAGGTCCATTCCGTCGGCAGTTCTTTACTACTGGTCGTCCTATTGCCTTCCTGTGGGGAGCTTTGGTACTCGGTGGTGCCATCCAAGTTTTGAATGTGACCGTAGTCATGTGAATGACACGCAAATTTCCCGCTCAGTAAATACTCTTAAATAGGATATGTAATAAGATTCTAAAGGTCACCAATATCGAGGGGTCACCTTGGTAATTTAAGTTTTCAAGTACTATATTTGGTTTTACCATTCACACATGACAACGGATCAGTATGTTATTAACAGTAAACATTCAATGCAATAAAATCCAAGGAAAACGAATCTGTATTTAAAAAGTTTACACTACAGTATTAATACCATGACCTGCATACACTGCTCATGCGTTCCTCTTGTTCCAGACGCGTATCCATTAATTCCACTGTAATCGCGTCATCCTCAACCACATTGCTCCGAGGGATCTTGTAGTTCCCGCCATTGACCCCAACAATCGCATGCATTACCCGTCGCCAGGTTCGAAACGTCTCCTCCAAAGTCAATGATGGCAGACTTGAACGATTCCTTGACAGGTCCTTCATGGACCGACATTCCATTTTCTGCTGCAGTGACTGAATAGAGTTGAAGAAGCCCAGGTCTAGAACTTTCAGGTCCTCAGTCGCCGGACCTGAACGTTCTAGACATGGGCTTCTTCAATTCTATTGTGCCAATTACGCTCAGTTGCCGCTTGAACAAACAAGGCATCGTCGACAGCAATGTGCCTCATTTGTGCTTACTTGCTGAAGCTCTTGTACAGCGCCATGCGCTTGTCGTTTGTCAAATTTGATTTGGAATTTATATTGCGAGCAGACATGGAGGCGTAGCAAGTGCGAATATGGTCATATAATTCAACAAAAAATATGATCAGAATCGCCTCAATAAGAAGATTTCGCAAGCGTCGGGTTATTTGTTCGCGTTCAGCTCACGCAACGACAACGGCAGCGGCAACGACAGATATTTTATGATTTCGCAACAGCAAATTTCCATCAAAATATACGAATAAATTATACGGATAAAGGATCAGCTTGGGCACACGCAGCCATTTTGCGGAAATATGCATAATTTCGTTTTTCTTTCAGATTATTTATAGCCAATCCAACTGACGGAGTTTATTCCACCAATCAGAATTGTTTTCACAATCATCGTTGCTGCCAAGGTGCTGCGTCATGTCTGCGGTGCCAGCGAACCCGGATGCGAAGCTGAACGATTTCTTCGCCAAGAAGAAGAAGAAGAAGTCGGCTGTCGCAGCTCCTGTCTCTGCCATCACTCATACATCCCCCGCTCTCGCTACCAACGCAACTGTTGCAGTGCCCCAGATCGTCAGTCCCTCAACCAATGGCGGCCCTGCGATCCAAACAAAGGGCAAGGCGATTGCCGAGCTCAAAACCGCCGCCACGGACAATGGGGACGACGATGACGATGAAAACGGCGAAACGGGAGGAGCCGCGTCCTTTCAGTGGTCTAAAAAGCCGAAGAAGAAGCCTGTGCAACCGGAAGCCGACAAGCGAATTGCCATTCACAGCGAACGAGCGTTCCCGACGTTGGGCAATGCGGCAGGGGGTGCCGCCGCGGTCGCCGCCGCCTCATCTGGCAAAGTCAAGCCTCCCGCGGACGTGCGGAGCCAGAATGTATGGTCCAATATCGACGACAGCGACGACGATGACAAGTAGTTTCCCTCCATACTAATATCAGCAACATCACATGGCTGCGTTCAGACGATTGTGTTATGTGCGATTCCTTACCGCCAGGTCGTACACCTAACAATTCACAGTAACTTTCCAAAAGACTCCTTTGATTCGTCAATATTCCTTAATTACTTCATTAATAGCCAATAAAAAGAGTTCGAGGCAAATTTACAGCGAATCACATGCGTTGAGGATAGGTGCAAGAAATGTCGTGCACCCAATCGCATTTAACGAGATCACATTCCCTCGCAGCGATCTTTACGAGGACTCTCAAAGCGAAATCCGAATTCCGTCTCGCCGCTTTGAGCGACATGTTCTTCAGCTTGACGGCGCTGACCGACCCGGCCTTGAAGCGGTTGTACAAGTTCGTCCTCAAGCGCGTCCTGGGTCGGTTCCTGCAGCATGACCTGGACATGAGTCAGCTCCAAGTGCATCTGCGGCAAGGCACGCTTCATCTCGTGGAACTGGAGCTGAATGCCGCTGCAATCAACGAATTCCTAGCCACGTCCGGCGTGCCATTCCAGATGAAGCGCGGGTTTGTCGGGTCGGTGAAAGTGACGGTGAGCTACTCGAATCTGCTCAACGAGAGCTGTCTCGTCGCGATCGACGACATTGACATTGTGCTCGAGCCAGTGTCGTCGACACCGCCGCCACCTGCGTCGACACCTCCAACCTCGACCCCGCCCACATCGAATCCACAACCCACCGCACATCATACTTCGTCCACAACAGGAAATTACGACTACGAGACCGACGCCGTGGCGCAGGAAGGGCTGGACTTCGTCGCAACATGGATCGAGCGCGTCACGTCCAAGATCAAGGTCACCGTGGCCAACCTGTGCATCACGTTCGAAGACAGCGCCACTTGTCCCGTGGCATTGACGCTCCACGTGCCATGGATGCAGCTCGTGGACGAGACGCCGCAGGAAGCGTATCCGTCCGCGTCGATCCTCAAGGGTCTGCAGTGGAAAGGTCTGCGCGTGGAGATTGTGCATCTACATCGGGACTCCATCGAAGAGACCGCCGCGCCTTTCTCGGTCGTTCCGATCCTGGTCTGCGACACCGTCCAGCCCAGCTACGTACAGGTCAAGCTGGACCCGGCGTCGCTGTTGGAAATCGACGTGTTCGTCCCACACATGCAGGTACTGGTCCAGCCCAAACAAATCAGTCACCTGACCCAGCTCGCGGCGCTCTTTACACCCACCACGTCCTGTGACACGGCGGCGTCATCCCCACCATTTTCGTCCTCTGCGCCTTTGACCATGTACCAGTCCATCTGCGACCCCCCCGAGGCTGCGACGTGGTTATCCCCAGATGACCAAGATAGCCCCCCCCCCCTTCAGATGGACCCTACCCAGTCGTTTCCAACGCTGTCACTGGCCGAGTTTCAGCGCATCGAACGGCTACTGCAGCAATACCAGGACCAAAAAAACGCCATGAGTCGCCCTCTACCGGCGTTGCGGCGGCAGGGCTCGTCGGACAGTGTCACAGGTCTGTCGGAGCTCGAGGATGACGAAGAAGATGAGATGTTTCACGATGTCGCATCTACTTCCTTCTCAAGCACGATGATGCAAGGGGCTGGGTATGGACAGTCGTCCATGTACATGAGCGCGCGGCAGCCGGCAGACGAACCGTCCGACGCTGCGACACTGTTACGTCGCGTGAAAGTCACAGTGTTGTCGGTTGAATTGACCATGGTGTACGAAGATTTGGCCGAGATGAACAATAGGGAGGTGGGAATGCTGCCAACCGTGTCACACATGGAGCGGCTCGTGTGGCGCGTCCACGACGTGCTCGTGCAGGCGATCATGCATCCCCCCCCACACCCGACAAACGTCCATATGTCGCTGCACCGTGTCACATGCGAGGAGCGGCTGGTGCCGCGGCTGTCGGCGCGGCCGGACGACGAAGACGATGAGATGCTCGTGATCCCGTGGCTGCGCTTTCTCGGAGATGAAAAGGATGTGGTGGTGCATTGGCATGGCGACGAGTCCGCGGCCAGTGTCGTCGTGCACGCGCAGCCGGTGCAAATCGAGTGGGATATGTTTATGCTGAACCGGGTGCAGGCGTTCTTGAACGCTCCATCATCTCCTCCTGCACCTACTAGTACTACTGGTGCACCTCCTCCACGGCCAATTATGCACGTACATGTGCCATTTGTCCATATCCACTTGCGGTTCCCGTTGATCGCGTCCGACCCCATCCGGTTTGGCCCGAGCAGTCGCCGCGGTCTCGCCGAAGACACCCTCCAGCTCCACTTTGAACATGTCAAGCTCGGGTCCGACGTCATGACGTGGGACGCTCTGCACGTCGAGCTCGTGTACCCGCCCGCGTTCAACCCCCGATCCCGCGAGGCTCCCCTCGTAGCACCCATCTGCTCGTCAAATGTCCATGCGCAATGCAGCTGGAGTGTGCACACGCCGACTGCCGAGCAGCTGCAAGCGGCGGCGGGGGTCCGCGCCAATATGAAGGAAACATTTGGATCGGACGCCGAGCAGGGCGAAGTGAGCATCGGCGGCGGCGTCGATGCATGGCGGCAGACGGAATTGCTAGAGGCGGCATGCGTCGGCGCGAGTGCCGCGGTCGTTCGAGTCCACATCCCCGACGCCGCCGTCGTCGTGGACAAACCCGTGTACGATCGGCTCATGATCCTCACCGACGCACTTGTGACCATGAGCCCCGTGGACATTGTCCCCAGCGGCGGCCGCGCCAAGCCGTTATTGCCGTGCGCGATGAGCGTCGAGATCGTGTGCGATGGCTTCCATGTCGTGCTCAGACACGAGGCGCTGCCAGAGTACCGCGTGGAACTGGACCACGTGCGAATCTTTTCGGTTATGTCGTGGCTCGGGACACTCACGTCCAGACTGCACGTGGCTGCTCAGGAGCTGTCGTTGTACCAAGAAGATACCCCCGTGCTGTATAAGATCGCATGGGGTCGACCGCACGAAGGTATGTTGTTGTCGTCGTATGATAGCGTATTGCTTTGATCGCTGCTATATGTACATATATATATATATACATCCATGGGAACACATAGTGTCGATTTAGTTTGAATGTGGACTTTTAAATTATATATATATATATACCTCCATGGGAACACATAGTGTCGATTTAGTTTGAATGTGGACTTTTATATTTGGTTGACTTTTGTGCGGAATACTCGCCAAATCCATCGATCGATGACTGAATAGTATTATACAAGTCAAAACGTGTCGTTCTGTGGTGGTTGCGTTCACACTAATTTCAGTCACACACACTAATTCGATGTCGGCAATAGTATCCTGCAATCTGATTGGCTCGATTCTTGTGTCTCTGTATGTGGTTGTGTCGATTCCATGTCACTCGAGTTTATAGACGAAACTCAACCTTACTGTACAACTTGGCATTGTTTATTTGTAGGTCCGTTGCTGTTGTTTTTGCAGGAAACCACGGAATTGGCCGACGACATGCGCGACATTAGCCTGCACCTACATTTCTCGCACCTGACGTGGAGGTCGGATATAGTGTTGATAGAAACGGCCATAGGGGGGTCTACATGTAACGATATATTTGTAGGGTCGACATGGCGTCCAACTGGCTCGGCGACTGTTTGAACGTGCTGCTGACGACGTACCCGCCCGCGATTGTTCCGCTGGACACGCCCCACGGCGCCGACGATTCGTTCGACGTGTCGCAGCCGCCGATTCCGCTGGCGATGCCTTCCAAGACGGTCTTCACCAAGCTTGTGGTGCAGTGCTACGAGTGTGTGTTGGATTATGCGCCGCGGGGCATCTCGTCGCGGGCGCTGCTCGTTTTGGGCAAACTGTGTCTCAGCTCCAACTTGGTCACAGACGCAGCGGTGCAGGGGTGGGTATACATTGTGTATATATATATTATGAGACCACGTTATATGTATGTACTTGGTGTAGGTACAAAGTGAGTGTGGCCGAGGTGAGTTTGTTTGTACACCCGCGGCGGTCGTCGCCGTCCACGTACGAGCTGGAAGACCGGTGGCTCTCCAAGACGGCGGCGAGGAGTCCGCTTTCGATGCAGGAAACGATAGAGAACATCGGGTTTCTCGAGGTGGCGACGCTCGACTTTGCCGATGTGTTTGTGCGCGTGAATGAAGAGTCAGACATGGGCGGCCAACTGCACCTAGAGCTGTGTCTGGGCACGATCAAGCTCAAAGTGTGCTTTGATTCGTTTGAAACGGTGCGGTTGGTGGGCACGACGTGGTGGGACGAGTTTGCCAAACATGCCGCCGCGCCGCCGCCGCCGCATCCCGCGGGAGTGTCCCCCGACGACGAGGACGATGTGCCCGTGGTGCCCGTGGACGACCGCCAACCGTCGACGGCGTTGAACGTACTGGACCAGATTGACTTTGCCATGTTTGAGCCGACTACAGGCCCGACCGTCGCGACCATGCGGGACACGGAGGCGCGGCTGCTGCAGACCCAGGTCCTTGAAGCCAAGAAGCCCCCCGTCCATCGCCGCCGCCAGCCGTCGACGCCGCTGGTGATTGACGACTTTTTTCGTGTCGACAAGGCGACGGCCGACGCCAGTCCATGGTTCATCTCAAACACGACGACCCCGCCGCCGCCGCCGCCATCATCATCTACTCATAGTCAGACGGTGCCGCCGTTGTTCTCGCCCGCGTCGTCGGCCTCCCAACCCCACGCTGGATCTCCTGTACGTGGCTAATGTATATATATATTGCCTCGATATATATATTGTGCCTTTTAGTCAAAAATTTGCCTATTTTGATGAAATCGCCAACGAATCGAGCAAAGAAGTATGATTGGCTACAAAGAATGAAGGATGCAATATGATTGGCTAAAAAGATTAATTGTGGCATTGGAGTCCCAAAGATATGTACCTCTTCAACTTTGTTTTATATGAAATTTCAAAGGTCCGGCGATTGTTTGGCGGTTGATCCAACCAACCGCCAGAGGAGGAAATATATTTTGAGTAGAACAAATCACAATACGATATGATATACGATATGAATTAGCCACATGTTGGTTTATATTGTGATACGTGTATGTAAAATATATACTTCTATATTTCTATATTGGAGTGGTTGTGGAGGATGTATGTATATATATATATATATATATATATATATGTACAGTAGTAGTTAGTTATATTTGAAAACGGTAGGCGATGGTGGAAGCCAGTGCGCGGTGGATTCCCCCCGAGGCATCGACCGACGACGACGACGACGACAGTCGCCATCACCTGACGATGCACTTTGAATCGTCGTTCAAGGCCGTGGACGACGAGTACGACGACGACGACGTGACGGACGACATGACGATGAGCGTGAGCATCAACGACACGGAAGAGGTCGAGCTGGACCTCCATCTGGACGGCGACATGCGGCTCGAACTGAACCGGCTGCTCGAGGCGGACGACGACGACGACCCATCCGTCCTCACCGAGGACGAAGAGCTGAGTCCGCGCAGCCACAGCGTCGTCAGTCCCCCCGACTCGCCCACGTCCAACGAAAACTCGGGTACGAGGGTGATGACTATATGTGTTATAGTGGTAAGAGATGTATTGATTTGTAGCGAGGTGGTACAGCAGCGACGGCGGTGGCAACTTTAGCGCCCCCCCCGACCCCCCCGCCATCTACTTGCATCACGTGGAGATTCCCATTGCCGGCGCGGCGGCCGCCCTTTCGTTTGGGGAAAAGGAACTGGCGGCAGCGATTCAAACCATGACCAAGTATATATATAACCTTTGAATCCATATATATATAATCTTCGAATAGATAGATATATATAATTTTTGAATACATATATATATATAATCTTTGAATACGTATAAATATATAAAATCTTTGAATATATATAAATATATATATAATCTTTGAATACGTATAAATATACAAAAGCTTTGAATACATATAAATATATAAAACCTTTGAATACGTATATATATATAAAATCTTTGAATACATATATATATATATACTCAAAAGGTTTGGGATTGCTCATGTTGTGGGTAGTGAGTGTCCCCATATGAAGACCCCCGTGATGGTCAAGAGCATTTTGCTGCGGGATTTCAACGTGGAAATGCGCCTGTTTGGGGGCCATGACTGGCAGCCGTCGACGACGACGACCGCCGCCTCTGACGGCCCATCATCGGCAGCACCAACCGCCGACGACAAGACTGAAAAGGCGCAAAAGTTGCTGGATGCGTTGCTCGAGAATTACGTGGACGAGTCGGAGAAATTGATGCAAAACAAGCCCAAATCCCGACCCACCAAGCACCGCAAGACGGAAGAAATGCTCGAGTTGCGATTGTCCAACATCAAGGTACTATTTTTGCATCAGTTATACCCAATTATATATATATAATTGTTTTCACTGGATATATTTTGTGTGGGTGTAGCTGCGGTTGGATTTGTATGCGGAAGACTCGCCCCAGCCGCTGGCTCAAAACACAGTGCTTCACGTGGGCGACGTGGAAATACTGGACTACATCAGCACGTCGCAGATCCGAAAGTTGTTGTGCTACTGGAAAAGCGACACGTTCCACCCACGGGAGACGGGCACCCCGCTGTTTCACTTTCACCTGATGACGGTGCGGACGACCGAAGAGGAGCATCGCCTAAAGCTCAAGTTTCTTCCGCTGCGCATCAACCTTGACCAAGACGTGCTGGACTTTCTCAAGCACTTTAGTTCGAGTGCCGGTAGCCCCGATGACGACGACGAAAAGGGGGCTAGAAACGTCAAGCCGGACCTGCCAGCCCCGCTGCACGCCCCCACGGTCGTCAGCGACAAGCCAGAAACAGCCCCCGGGGTCGCGTCGTTCTTTTTTCAAAGCGTGGACATTCGATCATTCAAAATCAAGATTGATTATCGACCCCAGGTGCAAACGATATAGATGTATACCTTTCGTGAGATGTATATATATATATATATATAGGGGGTGTTGATGAGCTTATTTGGTCGTGGGTAGCGAGTGGACTTTCAAGCTTTGCAAGCTGGGGACTACTTGGAAGTGATCAATTTGTTCGTGTTGGAAGGCATGGAGCTGTCGCTGCGACACATCAAATTGAGTGGCGTGAGCAACTGGGACGCGCTGATCAACCAAACGCTGGTGCATTGGGTCCAAGACATTTCCCGGTACCTAGCTCAATATTTATATTTCGTATCTATCTATATATATATATATAATATATATATACCTGGTATGGTAGACACCAGATCCACAAGTGCTTGGCGAGCGTGGTGCCGATGCGGTCGCTGTCCAACATTGGCGCAGGGGCGGCGGATTTGATTTTGCTGCCCATGGCGCAATACGGAAAAGACCGCCGCGTCGTGCGCGGGCTTCGAAAAGGTCCATCTCGCGATCATTTGTTTGTGATATATTGGAAGGCGACTACTTTCTTATTGTATTGTAGTAGTAGTAGAAGTAGTTATAGTAGTAGTAGTACTTACTGATATGTGGTGGTGTAGGCGCCACGAGCTTTTTGAAAAGTGTGACGATTGAAACGCTCAACACGGCATCCAAATTGGCGCGGGGCACCAAATCGCTGCTCGAGAGTGCCGACCACGTGATGCAGGACTCGAAGAAGAAGAAGACGCTGTTCAACTCGCGCAAAGGAAACACCCACGCGCGGTACTTGATCAGCCAGCCCGCCAACGCCACGGAAGGATGGAACCAAGCGTATGCGTCCATGTCGAGGGTCCGTCGAGTGCACACGCCATGGCATCATGAGTATTGATCATCATCGCATGCATGTAGGAGCTGCATGTCGTGGCCAAGACGATTGTGGCCGTGCCGTTGCTGGAGTACCAAAGGACGGGATCCCACGGGTACGTTGTTGTCTGCAAGCCGACGGACGTTGAGTGTGTGATGGGTAGGTATGTGAAGAGTGTGATTCGGGCGGTGCCGGTGGCCGTTTTGCGGCCCATGATTGGAGCCACAGAAGCCATGTCGAGAGCGTTGATTGGCGTTCGAAATGCCGTGGACCCAGAGATGAAGGAGGACATGGAAAACAAGTTTAAAGACATGTCGTGACATAATCAACACGATATATGGGTACATGGATGGGTCAATATGTGTATATTGGACGAATCTGCAAAAGCCCGTGGAAGAACCATACTAAATCATACTATCTGGTCGTGGTCGACGTGTAAGCACGAGGATAACGTCATCGAACGTCATCGCAAGCTTTCGAAATACCTAGTCGCAGAAAAGGGAAATGCATCCCATATTGTCGATTTGATACAAATTTGGGGAGCAATCGCCGACCAAATTGATCCACAATCGATCTGATTGGTTGAATTTCATTGAGAAGGTTTTGATTGGCTAATAATTTTGAGCTCATCTGAAGTAGCCAATCAAATCGATTTAAATTCCAACGAGAAACCACAATTCCACTCGAAAGCACAATCCAAATCTACTTCAAATTTCACTCGAGCAAGCGGCAGGGGTATAGTAAGCAACTAAATTGCATACGCATTCATTTCAAAATCATATTGCATAAAATAACATATAAATAGAAAGTTCAACATAGTCACATAATACATGTGACATAGGTGCCTGTTAACAACTCACAAATCAACGCATGCCGAAGTCGAAAGCGGACAGTGCCATGGCCAAGGAAGCACTCGAAGCCGTCAAAGCCATGGTCCCAGACCCAAAGCTCGCGGAAAAGATTCTGAAACGGCGATTGTACAACCGCGAGCAGCAGCGACGTCATCGATCCAACAAGGCCGAGGAAATCGTGCGACTGCGTGGCGAAGTCGCTGAACTTGAAACAGAAAAGGCTGGATTGGCTGATAGTGGTGGCGACGACGAGATGGACACGATGCTTCCGTGGAAGGAAGTGTCGTGTGGCATCCTTGAATGCATCGAAGACACAAGTCAATCGAATCGCGACATGAAAGTCCTCAGGCGCCATAATCACGACCGCATACAACGTATCACCGAGTGGGTCTCAACTTGTCGCGTTCCCATGGTGGTAAGTCACTACCATTGGTGCCAAAAGCGAAGGACCCATGCATATACTAGGGACTTCTCAACAATCAACGAACCTGGCGGCATGTTACGCTCCTTAGTCATCCCCCCACGCAAAAGCTCGGTTTCGACTGGATCACGCAGCAATTGTACCATAACGCGGATGACATGTTCCAAGCCAACAACTTTCCATCTCTATCGTCTCGTAAGTACCTTGGGGACTTCCATTGTGACAGCACAGTCAACGAAACTTTGCAGTACACTTGGCGGGTTCAAAGGGATTTGAACATGCCATTTGACCAAGTTATCCGTATCATTCAAAGCAACGTCGTACACTACCTTGTTGGCGCAGCTTGGTCCAAGGAATGGTCTGCTGTCAACGTCTTGTCGTCGGTTCCCTTGGACACTCCTGTACGAACAATTCCACTCAAAACACTAATATGATGAGGGTAGTTGCTTCAAGAAGTTGGGGGAAAGATCGCGTACGGTCGAACACATCGCAGTGCTGATGAAGACGTCAACTTTTTGTGTCGCGAATTCACAGAAGACGGGAAACTTACGATCGTGGCGCAGCACATTCACGAAGACGAAAATCTACCCCAATGCAAGGTGCAGTGCAATCGCATGTTCTGGTATCTACACATACCTTTCCTCGTTCGACCAGTACCTTGTACCTTCCCTTTCGTCACAAGCTGCATGATTAAGGGCAACTGTGGACCGCATCTCAGACGACGTCTCGACGCTGCTGTTCTTGAGCTCGCACTACTTCAACCAGTACGGGAGCGTGCCGTTCAACGATGAATGCCATTACCACTGGGGCTTAGACCTGAGCCACATCGAGGACGAGGCCGCAAAGTTGGCGGCATTCCACCGGCACATCGCCCGCGCCGGCAACGAATTCGTCGGCGCGCTTGCGCCCCTCCTGCACTTTGTGTAAGTGACCTTCGCGCGTTTTTTCAGATTTGAAAATATCCTCTCATATTTAATAGATTAATTCCTCCAAAATTCAATACTGTGTTTCGAAAGTAGGGTTAACGAGGAGCGTGTGTTGTCACGAACGCTTGGATGGACGACGCATACAGCGCTGGGTTGGAGTTGAGGTGGGAGACGTGCTTGGACGCCTCAAAGTCCACGCACGTGATGGAAGATCCCATGGATTGAGCCGTCTGAATCGCTCCCTGAATGTCGGACGTACTCACAAGTTCGTCGGCACTGGAGTACAGGAACAGCTTGGGGGTGGCCGCGTCGCGAATAAGGTAACGAAGGTAATGCAATGTGAACGGATGCTTTCGGCCGGTCAACCATAACAACAAGTGGAGGAACACGAGGATCCACCTCCACACAAACCGCTGTGCCACCAAGTGCCGCAGGAATGGAGTCTGTCGCACTTGGGTTGTGATCGGATCGTCCGAGAGTGCGCCTGGGATCGACGGGCACGAGTCAAACACCATCGACACTACATGAAACGGGACACGCGCCTGGAGAAGTTGATTCTCAAAGCAATACCATGATCGGCACCCTCCATTGGACATAACATGTGGGATGAGGCCGAGTGAGGCAGCTTGGCCCGCTGCAAGCCGTCGGACCTGATCGACCGCGGCCCCGTGCACCCAACGTTCTGGGAGGAAGAAGTCGATACCATGGGATGGGAGCATCAACGCATGATACCCGAGTTTTTTGTACATCTCCAAGTATGCGTCCACTTGCGCTGCATCGGCATTTGTCCAGCCGCAGACCAATATCAGTGGCGGCATTGTTCACGTCCACGTTGACGTTGGCACAGCGATGGGAATCGTTTTCGTTCAATGATTGGCTTAAATATGTATTCATTTTTGCGAATCAAATCGCGTCATAGACGACATAGGGACTTATAAAACGCGCTTTATATAGTTAGGCAAAATACGTTGAAGTGGTCATCATTGTGGCGAAGCATTCCAGCCAGCCATTCAAGCGACTCGTGAGACCGTTATCGACTCAAACTAGCTTTTAATGCCAAGGATCTGGCCAAATCAGCCCTCCCCATCATGTGATGCTTGCATGAGCTGGCTGATGAGTTGGTTTAAAATCGTCCATTTGTACCGGTATACCGGTATAAAAGAAAATAACTTTGACTGGGAATACTATTAAGTATCCGGATTAAATTTTATTAACAGTAAAACAAATTAGAAACGTACGATCTATAATAGTAGTAATACCAGTAATTGTAACCAACTGTTAGGTACGAGTAGTAAGCGACAGACATATAATAGGATTGCGAACTCTCGTTGATATTGTCAATGAACGATACTTTGAGCTTAAACCATCAGCTATACCTCATACTACCGTAGATATTGTACAATATCTGATGACTTCTCGAATGCAATATGTGCCAGGTGTACAGTACTGTACCCCTATAGTATGTATGTACTGTACGACTGGTGTGGCACTAAAAAATTCAGTTTCGTCGGATGTTTTTTTCAATCGAAAGGTCGGTCGTTTACCCACAGCTGCGCATTTAACCCAAGATTTGAGTATACCACCAGGACGTTAAATAGAAAAACGTAGGTCGGAAGGTAGTGCAATAGAAAATCCTGACATGCTAAATTTGAGTTCGCCATGATGAGCAACGCCAGCACCGACAACGAGGAAGTGGATCTCCCGACGCTCGATGAGGACCGCGACCTTCGCAAGAAGATCCTGTCCAGGAGGAAGCAACAGCGTTACCGCAAGCGTATCGTCGCGGACAACGACGGTCTGCGCACCCATGCGCGGGACCTGGAGCGGGAACTCCATCGGCTCAAAGTCGCGACCAAGCAATGCGACCTCATCCCGCACGTGTTGTCGTGGCAGCAAGTGGCGAAGGCGTTGATGGAGGAACGCGACATTTCCTTGGAGTCGAACGCGTCTCTGAAGGCCAAGTGCCAGAACTACCGCAATGTCGTCGCGCAGCTCGCGGCCTGGGCACAGACGGTGATTGGGCTGCCGGTACGCGTCCGCTTTCGATATCGTAAGATGAACTCGCGTTGTTCTGTAGAGTCAACCTCGCACGGACATCAACACGTGGCGCACGGTACGACTCGGGACCGACCCCATACTCCGCGGGACTGGCATCGATTGGATCACACGACACCTGTACCACAACACGGACGCGATGCTGGAGCGGTACCAGTTCTCCGCGTTTCCTCCCCGCGGCGTCTACAGCGAAGACGACATCGACGTGACCGACTCGGACGGGTTCCGCTGTATCCATCGCTTCCAGGGCGACGTCGCGCAGACTGTGGACGGCATCGCGGCCGCCTTGCGCGGCAACATTTGGAAGTTTCTGCTCGTCGGGATGCTCAGCACCATGGACCCCGAGGTACTTACTTGTTATATTATGTGAAGACCCGTCTTCGTTGGCTAAAACAATGAATACCTAGTCCATTGGCGGGAGCAGCAGCGCACCTTCCGACATCTACCGCCACACGTTGAACAGCTCGGTCGAATCGGTAAACCTCGTGAGTCGCGAGTTCACGGTCGGCACCCGCACGACGTTTGTGGGCGAGCAAGTTGAGGACGACGAGGCATGGCCGACCGACGGCAAGCGGCAGCGGCGGCGCTTGATCTGGTAAGTGTTGCTCGAGGATATGATTTTCCGGTTCATAACGTTAGTCAATTTAACCGAACCGAATCCGATTGGTCAATGACTTGTCGCTGATTGGCTGCAATCCATTTTCGATTTTTTTCCGGAAAAAAGGCAAAGTGGATATTAGCCAATCAGATGTCTCGGCTCTATTTTGTGCTCGATGGAACGGGGAAATTTGGAAATTTGACGAATGTCGGCAAGAGTTGCTAAGCATTGCTTAGGATTGTGTTGGACCGAGTGACGGAGACACAGTCAAAGGTGCGAGTGCTGTACATGGTGTCGCACTCGTTCACCAAGCACGGGTACCTGCCGCTCGAGGAAGAAGCCAAGCTGTGGGGCTGCCACCTTCCACCGCCCTCGTCGTCTGGTTTCAAGTACTCGGACGACGCCACTGCCAACGCCGACGCGTTCAAACGGCATGTGGAGGACGTTACAAGCCGGTTCCGTCAGATGGGTCAGCAGCGGCTCGTTCATGCCTTGGCGCCGCATTCACATGGTACTTCCCCCATCCTCCTCTTCAAGTGATCCAAGATGAAGGGGCCTCCTGCGTGAGTGACATCGTTACTTGTGTGTGTATGGCGGGCCAGCCGTGAAGAATCCGTTTGGCTTCCAAGAGTTTGCGACCGCCAACTACTATTAGTGGCTGCATGCTTCAACCCTTTCGCAGGTCTTTCCTCGGAAGCTACGGTGGTGGACCTACATGTGTGCGTGTCGTCCGTCTGCCCTTGGCCACCCATTTGCGTCGTCTGCAAGCTTAAGATTAATGCATGAGACATCAATGATCATTACTGTTGGTTGAATTGTGTGTAGTATATATCCTGTGGGTCGAAGGCACATTTCGCCCTTGGACTTCGTCTTGATAGGAATATTCCAATGAAATAACCCAGTGAAATAGCCACTTGAAATTTTAGCCAAAACTTTTTCCTGTCGTCTGAAGTTCTCACCGACCTTTTCACGCGCTTCACGACCCCCAACTGCATGTACTGTACATCTCGTAAGCGACGTACTATTCGCTACCCCCCACTCGACGATAACAAGCACTTCACTCAAATAACACTGGTACTACGAGGGAATGTGAAATTTACTGATTGTCACTTGAATATTCCAATAGAATTTACTGGAAAAATGCGATGGACATTTCATGTGGATTCTTTAAAAATCACTATACGGAACATTTGACGAACACTGTCGCAGCAAGAATGCATGTGTAACTGCCACAGAACCAAAGCTTGTGCATTGTGAAAGATCATCCCAATGGCAAACAACAGTCGCAGCGGCAGCCGCCGCCCCCTCTACCCGGAATTGGTCAAGGCTTTCCTCAATGTCATCGATAGAGGCGATGTCGAGGAGGTGCGGGCCCAACTAGCAGCTCACCCCCGCCTGGCCATCGCTGAGGACGAGGAAACAGGCGTGACATCAATGATGAAGAGCTCCGTCGCGCCCAATGCGATCGCCATAATGACCCTGCTGTACCAGCACGATTCTCGAGATGGAACAGACCCCGCAGCTCTCTTGTACGCGTGTGCATGTGGCGCGAAACCAGCGGCGGTGGACTTGCTCTGGAGCTGGTCGCGCCAGTCGCGGGTGCCCGAATTTATGTTTTGGGCATATTGTGACACCTTCGGCGATGGCCCGATGGTGCTGGCCGCCCGAAGTCACAACGTCGTTCTCTTACGGCACTTGCGGTCCATCGTCCGTATCTCAGACCAACGTCATCCCAGCAACCACAGCCTGAAGCAACTTCGAGCAATCATTTCAACCAACGACGAAGAGTTTGCCGTCGAGGCCATGAGCACTCGGTTGATTCAACAAGCCATCAAGAACGAAGAGGAGAGTTACTGGAGAACATATGAGGATCATGGCATGATCAAATACGGATGGTTCATGGTTGCCAATTGTATCAAGGACGCCATCGTCGCAGACCTGCAGCGTGTGGTGGACAAGTTCGAGCGTATCCACCCAGCGTACACGCATGCGACGGTGTATTACTGTACCCACTCCCTGCAACCGCAAGAACGAACGGTTTGGACCGACCTCAGAGCGCAATTTGTGTGGGATTGTTCACATGACATTATTCGACCTGCTTTGTTGGTGCAACTGCGCTGGTTGCCTGGCTTGGTGCCGCTTGGCTACCACATTGCGTCGTACTTGATGCCAACCAAAACCGACCTTCACAAACGAGCTCAAAGCCGCATCAAAGGCTTTGAACTGTGCGAGAATGAACAAGATTGTGGTCCGCTTTGCTCATCATGCTACCGTCGCAAGTCCAGTCACGGCATGTACAGTTCGTGAGCTCTGGTAGGAACGCGTAGTCCATGACCAATAGCCTCGCGGTTATTCCTTACTACTAATCACCAGTTTTCGATTCAATCGTGTGATTGCATACCCGGTGGAGATTGTTTGGCGTTTGAACCCATATCATTATATCATTCACACGCAAGGTTGACAATACAGGTACGAACATTGTCGCAAGTTTGGCTACCACTTCAAAGTGGCGACACCCAAAGTTGAACAAGTCCGAGAGCAAGTGGAGGACGATGAGGCGAGAAACCGCCATGGCGTGATGGTGTGTTTATTGGCTAAGACATCCACGACGGGAGGTCTAAGGGCGGATACTTTTTACAGTATCGCACAATTCTACTGTACTTGCTGTCGGAGGAAGAAGCTAAACTGTAAGGCTGGTACTTCCTGGTCCCAACCACAACGACGGGGGGGGCTCGGATTTGAGAGAGGCAAGGATGACCACAGAGTCAAGGCGCATGTCATTAGAGGAAATCACCCTGCGGTTCCGTAGAATTGGCCAAGAGGGGCTCGTTACTGTGATACCTTCACGCCGGTACTTCATCCATCTTTCTCTTGAACGATCCGACGAAGATCAAGCGGAAGTGACAACGTTGCTTGTGTGCGTAAGGCGGTCTGCAGTACTGTGGAATGTTGGTAAATGCGTCACACCGTACTTAAGACATTGGCACCCTATCGCATATAATAATGAATGGTACATCCTGCGTAGTTTGTGTAACAGCGCTGGTTGCACTCTTGGAACCTCTTGGCCATGTGTTTGATCCCTACCAAGGCCAAACTTCGCACATGAACATGTATCGGCGTGGCATGTCACTAGTTCATGAACAGTGCGTAGAGGCTTTGAAACTCAGCCAGCGTGGCCATGGCGATATCGTGCGGCAGGGCACAGTGCCGAATGTCAATATAGAACACATCGTTCCCCACGATGCTGGGGGATCGAATAATTGATCGACGGCATCTCCTGGAATCCCAAGGACGGCGCAGTTGATTTCCACGTACGCGCAATGACAGGCCGAGTCGAACCACGGGGCAGTATCTTGAACACAAGTGACTGGACACGGGGTGCGGAACAACGTGGTGGCGGCCGTTGTAAAGTACATCAACAGAATTCCCCACACGGATGGCGACAAGTGCGTTGTGGGGATAGCTGTCGGGCGAGACGACAGCAACGCACGTCGACAGCTGCAACGGTGGCCTGGTAAACAAAGGTTGCGGGCATCGAAGTTGCCGCGAATTAAAGGGACTAAGACCAATAACTGAGCCTAATACTGTAGTACCACATCATCCTTGGCCCGATTGATTTGACGTGGCAATGAAAGCCATTTGACAGATGAACTGTCAATATGTTACCAGTGATCAAATCCACGATTCGGTCGAATAAAGCGGTGATAATTAATAGAGATGTACTAACGTTAACGTTACCTTAAGTTGCGCAAGCTTATCAAACGAAGAATCAGGCTGCTGCTGCTGTCGTTGATGTGACTTTCAGTGAAGTTGCCCGAACAGGGCCTTCTTACATTAACAAGTACAACGAGCAGAAATTAATCCAATGCAAATGTGCAATCACAGTAGCTGCCCCCCTCGACCCAACACTGGTCATAGGTTTTCATAGTGCCGTCAAGCAAGGCGATGTGGATCAGTGTGGGCAAAAATTGAGGAAATAGGCATGACATCACTGATGACGAGCTAGCAATGTCTCACCCAGTGCGAATCTCTGATGGCCCTGTTGTCGTTCTAGTGCACAAATCCAGGGTACTTGCCATGGAAAAGTCAAACTGTGCGAACAACCACCACGGCGGCGGGGCCTCGGATTTGGCAAGGGGGTCACATAGGCGATTTTGCCCATTGATGACGGTCAACTTTGTCCCGAAGATTTGGTCTGTCTATATATAGAGAGAAGTAACACTGTCGCAAGTCTGTTCCAACACCTTGAATACGTTATATGGAATCTGCAATGATGCATACGAGCAATGAATGACTGCGGCATCCCCTGCGGCCCTGTTTAAGGTTTTGCAGCTTGCCATCGAGCGAGACTCGCCAATCTTAAATGCCTCGATTTGAGCATTTCGTAACTTCGTGTTTTGATTCCAAATTGAGTTTGGCCTAGTCGTTGTACTGAACTTCAAACTCACTTTTGGAAACGATAAGTATTGTCAAGATATGACACACTGTCGCAAGTTTGCAGTCAACGACTTGAACAATTTAGGCCCTAACTGCAAAATAGAAAAACTCATTTCAATGGGAAAGCGCAGCAGCCACCCCCTCTACGAGGAACTGGTCAAGGCATTCCACGATGCCATTGAAAGGGGCGATGGAGATGGGGTGCGAGCCCGATTCGAAGGTATTGTCGATTGTGTTGTAGCGAGGGCGTATTGATAGGTTCAAATCCCATTGCCAGCCCCCCACTGTACAGCAGAGCCTCATTTTATACTGCAAAAAGTATGAATGTTTGACAGTACAATGTGCCAGTTCGGATTGTTCAACGACTAAATCCTAACTGTCGCATCAGCAAATACAAAGTTCAGCGTAGTGCCATTTGTCAGCTTGTTGCATGAAAAAGTACAGCCGCAGGAACAGCACCCCTCTCGACTCGACCCTGGTCAAAGCATTCCATGGTGCCATCGAGCAAGGCGATTTGGATGAGGTGCGGGCCCAACTCGCAGCTCATCCCCGCTTGGCCAACACTAAGGAAGTAAAAACAGGCGTGACATCCCTAATGAAGAGCTCCGTCGCGCCAAATGCGATAGCCTTGATGACTCTGCTTCGCCAGCAAGGTGCAAATCTGGCAACGAGAGATGCAACCCGCAGAACGGTCCTCTTATACGCGTGTACCTGCGGCGCTGAACCAGCGACGGTGGACTTGCTCTGGAGCTGGTCGAGCCTGCGCCCTTCCCCCGATTTGCGCTGGACACATTGCGACTCTAACCACGATGGTGCGATGGTGTTAGCCGTGCGCAGTCGTAACGTCGCCCTTTTGCATCATTTGTGGTCTATTGTCCCAATCTCAGCCCAAAGCAATGCCAGCAACCATAGTCTGAAGCAATTGAAAGCAGCCATTTCAACCAACGACGAAGACTTTATCATCGAGGTCATGAGCAATCCGTTGATTCAACAAGCCGTCAAGGACGAAGACGAGTTTGAGTACGAATATTGGGTTGACGACTGGTCGAGCAGCGATGCTAATACGCACGACATCAAGATCACCGTCGCATGTTGTATCAAGAACGCCATCGACGCAAACCTGCGGCGTGTAGTGGACTTGTTCGAGCGCATCAACCCAGGGTACACTCATGCGACGCTGTTTTACTATTGCCACACTATGCAACCATGTGAAAGTGCCGAGTGGAGTGACTTCACCTCACGATATGTGTGGGAATCGTCACAAGACATTGTGCGACCTGCCTTGTTGGTGCAACGCCAGTGGTTGCCTGGCTTAGTGCCCCTTGGTCACCACATTGCGTCGTACTTGATGCCACTCATGGCCCAAGTGTACAAACGAGCACAAATCCGGATCAACGACTTTGAAATCAGCGACGATGGCGGTTCCTCGTACGATGGATTTTACTCCTGCTCCGAGGACGGTGGCTACAGTTCGTAGTTGATGGCTAATCAACATGTACATACGTATTCAGAACGCCGTGCCTCTTCGGTTGGAAGTGAACAGGCTAACGTTGTCCACGGATATAATTGTGTCATACTTGTTGAGGCCCCAGTGTGCTCAAAACTACTTCGACCGGGTAACACTACTTTCAAGGACAGGTCGAACCGTTGGGTGAATCACTGTGATCTCTTCCTGTCAGACAAGTTCATCCAACCAAGACAAGTAGTGTCTCGCTGGTTTCAATGCATCAGTCCCCCCCCTCTCGACCCGAAGCATCGACCAAGGCAATGTAACGGAAGTGCGATCCAACTCAAAGCTCAACCGCGACTTGCCAACGACGACAAAGGGGAACATCGCTCATGAAGAGCTCCGTCGCGCCCAATGCGATAGCCCTGGTACCGCTACTGCGTCAACACAACGCAATGCAAGATATGCTTGTACGCTTTGAATGGGGCGCAGATCCGGCGACGGTGAATTTCGTCATGAGCAGGTCAAACCAGTGTCCGTCCCCCGTTTTACATTGGACGGATTACGATTTCAACGGCCCAAATTCACAACAGCGCCCGTTTGCGGCATTTGTGGCCGGTCGTCCCAGTCTAGAAGACTTCTGGGACGACATGAGTGAGCGATTTCAGTGGGATTGTTTTCTTAATGTTATCACGATGGTTGGACCTGGTTTGTGGGTAGTACAACGTCGTCGGTGCTTAATTACGTGGCTGCTTGGAAGCCCTTGGAGATCATCATATTGCGTCGTACTTGACCCCAACCGAGGACAACCTTGACGAAGAAGGACAACTCCGGATTGGCAACATCGTTTGTTGCTGATGGATTGCAAAGTCCACTCGTATATTGGAAATGGCTGGCTGGTTTGATGGTGTTGGCTCGCGTCATGAGGTCATTCAACCTAGCTTTGGACCAATTGCATTGTCGAAAACTCCGAATTTACTGTATCGCAGTCGATGGTCTTGTTGGATTCATCTCTGGATAAGCGAGTAGTTATCGATTCGCCAACTGATGCTCTTAACCCCTAACGTTATAGGATTTACATCCATAAAGCTTTTGTGCTGCTCATTCTTTGCCAAATAAATCTATCGATCGATTCTTCTTTGTCCTGACTTTTTGTATATCTAACGATCGTCCAGTAGCACACTAATTTCAGTCACACCCTAGTATATTGGTTAAAAAGTGAATTTGATTGGCTACTTGATTAGAGTTCTGGATTTTGATTGGTCGATCTTTGATTGTCTGCCGATTCATTGAGGTCCAATTTCGAATCGACTTGAGAATCAATATACTATGGACTAATGTTATATAAGCTTATTGTAAACGTTAGTAGGAATCTTTTTTGCATCCATTCATATGCATCCACAATCTATGACCCTCGTTGCCACCTTCTGTTTGATATATTCGACGATAGCATTATTATCGCTTAACATTGCAGCGATGCCAGTTAGCTACACATACATCCGACCCCGCGGACGTCGTTCTGCTGGGTCGCCTTGCCAGTGCTTGTACTCGCGGTTGGATAGAATGTAGCGCAGTTCTTGAAACTTGATCAAGTTCTGCGTCTCTCCGTACGCCTTGGTGGCCATTTTGACCATGAATCGCTTCGGGTGCAGCTCGTCGCCCTTGTGTGTACGTCCTCGAGATTGCAAGTCTTCAAACAGGTCAATCACCACGTCGTACTCTTCCTTCTTCGATGCAATGAACATACCCAGCTCGGTCAACCGGTAGCCTACCACCACCACCGCCGCCGTGACTAATCAACTAACCACCTACTAATCAAACGAATTTACCCAAAGGAAGGTCAGGGTTGCCACGCATGGTGACGATGATCTGCAGCGCTTCATTGGCCTTGCCCATGTCATACAGCCATCGCACGGCGTGCTCGAGCGCCACGTACGACAGTGTGTCGCCCGATTCGAATGCAAACGTGAACAATCGCATGACAGTTTCAAACTCGTGGGGACTGTGGCCGCCCTTGGCTATAAATTGGCGGTACCCAAAGATAAACAAGTCAGAGACACGGCTGCCATTCCACCCGTGGGTCACGTCTTGATACTGGACAAAGAAGGCCGCGATGTCCTCGATCTCAAGCAGATGGCTCCACCCTGCGAACAGCCGATACCGCGCCATGCCGGACAGCCGTCCCAGCTCATGGGTCTGCATCAGATCTAGCAGTTTGATGGACATGTCGGCGTGCACTGGCGCCGCCCGCGACAGCAGCATCTTGGCGATGCGGAACTTGAACGCGGCCGACGGCGACGGCAGCCGGACGAGGTCTTCCACCACGCCGACCGCTTCCGTGTATAGTTTGGCGTCCCAAATCTGCTGGAGGGCGATTTCGTACGGCACTTCGCTCGCCACTGGCAGTGCATCGTAGTGTTTGTTGGCGTCCCACAAGTGCAAAGCGCGGCGGATGGCCTGAACGCGGACCTGGCCACTGGATGGTGATGATGGCGACGAAAGGGGGGGAGCAGCCGACGACGAGGATGATGCGTCGACCAAAATGTGGTTGAGCAGTGTCACAGATATGGGGTACCCTGCCGCGGCGGTGGCTTCCGCAAGGGACAAGATCGTGAATTGAGGACACTTGGGTCGGCTCTTGATGGCTGTGGTGATAACGTGGAAGTACGTGGGGCCGTTGGGCGTGAGATGTGACGCGAGCATGGCGTGGTAGATCGTCTGCGCCGTCTTCCAGGCCTTCAAGTGGCTACAGGCTACTAAGAGCGCGTTGTAAATCGGGCGCGACAGCGGCGCCACCTCCCCCACGTGCCTATCAATATGTGTACAATAAATATATATCAATAGATAAATTTATATGAATGCATTAGTTATTTTTATTATTTATATGTCAACGAACGAATACACATTATAGGATGCAAGAAGAAGCAAGCCACCAGATATATATAAACCCAACATAATTACATCAATATTTATCTTTATATATATATATATATCGAAAATAACGTTGAAGCGTGGAATAGTATTTATGAGATCAGGACCCTGTCAAAGATATCTCAACAATGTTATAGTACACTTTTCTATCGAAAGGGAAGACAATATATATAATTTGGGAAATCCACAAATTTTCACATATATTTGGGAAATATATATTTGCGAAAACGAACTGCAAGTTGGAATGATATATATGATTCATGATACCACATATACGAACGTACCAGTCCACAAACACGTCGAGCGAGTCTGCAAATCGAGATTGCCGATTCAACGATAGAATGTAGTAGAACCGAAGGCGGTTGTGCAGCATCGGAATGGTCTTCTCGGCTTCTTCAAACAGGCGCACGACTTCGGCGTAGTTGCCCAAAGCCACATGGGACTGCATGGCCCATTCATAAGCGAATCGATTCAGGTCGGATGATGGAACGGTGTCGAAGGCTTCCACGGCCTTGGCGTAGTTCTTGTCGAGGACGGCTCGTTCGAGCACGACCAACGGCGTAGGCGGTTTTGTCGTCGGCGTGTACCTATACGCGTGATCTAACGTCGACTTGGGCTCACGTGCCACAAGTTTGAATGCTTTCTTCTTCGTTTCATTGATTGAAGGAGCGGCTTGCGGTGCGCATTGCTCAACGGAGTCTGTCGTTGACTTGGATGTGGACGAAATGTGCTTTGGATGGAAGGGAACATCCTCCGATAGTGTTGTGACAATGCGAAACCTTCGCTTCACGGGAATGGTCGACATCCCTCGCATGAAGGTCCGCAGACCTTCCTGCTGGGCGTTCGGAAGCCCGACCACGGCACGACGGAGCATTCCTTGGTGGCGAATATAATGGCGATAGGGAATGCGACGATTATGATTCGCTACATATCTACCAATCAAATGTTGTACCTTATGAAAACTTCGACATTTGATTGGCCTCAACATTTCTATTTTAGCGAATCATTGAATCATAATCTATCTACCAATCAAATGTCTTCCTTGAAATGCGTCGCCATTTGATTGGCCTACACGATTTCGTTTTATCGAATCAAATAATCGATTGATAATTGTGAATTCATATTCGAGTGCAACATGTTCTTACTACCACGGAGCCAACGTGGATGTGCCTGTTCGATGCTCCATGTACACCTGCGCTTTGCGGACGAGCACCTGGTACCGCCGGGAGTCGACGACGATGTTTCTTGCCGTCAGCTTCTCATGCACTTTGAGCACTTCGTGATGCTCTCGTCGGTCGCTGAATCCCTCCATGACGCTGGTCGCAAAAAAAGCATCGTCCCAGAGTTGGTCTTGATATTTGGATCGCGCCAAGGCGAGGACGGTCTCCAGTTGCTCGTAGCGAGTCAGTTCGCGCACCAGGATGTCGACGGCCGCCAAGTGAGGAACGAAACAAGTAAGGCGGGGGTCCTCCATGCAAACTTCCCACAGCGACACCGCCACCGACACGTGGCCGCGGGACACCAACTCCACGTACATGTCCGCGACAGGGATCGTTGGAACCAAGGCATGTCGATGATCCACATACCACGCCAATCCATCTGAAATCTTGGTGGGGTTGTCGGCAAGATGGCGGGCATACATCCTGCTGAACAGGTCCACGGTGCGCTTTCCCGCGGGGATCTTGTGTGTGTTCATCAACTCAACCATGACGAGGGCACTCGGCATGTCGCGAGACGCTAGCTGCTCTTCCAGCAAGATGGACAACGCGTACAAATCGTTTTGGTCGGGGGTGGGCGGCACTTGAGCAAAGTACGTTTGGACCATCTCGAGCTTCTTGACCGACGAGATCGACTTGTCATGGAGGGAATCGATCACTCCTTCACCCAATGACGGAATAATTTTCTCAGTCGACATCACCAAGGGAGATGCATGGTAGGGTCGTCGTCGAGGTAGGCCTAGGATGCGAGCACCAAGCGATCTCCTCGCTCCTTGCAACGAGCGCTGCATGACGATTGATGGCGATGGGTGGAAAACATTATCCGGAAAACGACGAATTTGATTGGATCAAAACATTTTCTTTTTAGCTAATCCCATTGCATTAACTGTTAATCGGACGCAAATCCAGAGTACGACGGTTAATAATAGAACAGTTTGATTGGATAAAATGAATCCACTTCAGCGAATCCCATTGCATTAACAGTTAATCCTCATTCGCCTCTTGTTGCATGTCAAGTCCATGATCAATGACGGTTTACATCGAATTTGATTGGATAAAAATATTTCTTTTTAGCGAATCCCATTGCATTAACTGTTAATCGGACGCAAATCCGGAGTACGACGGTTAAAATTAGAACCGTTTGATTGGATAAAATGAATCCTCTTCAGCGAATCCATTGCATTAACAGTTAATCAGACGTTAATCCTCATTCGCCTCTTGTTGCATGTCAAGTCCATGATCCTGCTGGAGAATGCTACGACGTAGTTAGTCACAACATATAAGAAATACTAAATCAAACCGATAGAGGCAGCGCAACTGATGCTCTGGAATGCCTGGAACTCTGGACAAGTCGAGTCGGTCCCATCTACAGCCATCCATTATCATGTATGAGAAACGACTGTACTAGTAGTATATCGTGAAACACTTACGGAAGTTGGAAAAAGTCGGCTAGGGAAATCTACATCGAATTGTATGCTTGTGAAGCGAAAAAGAAGGGGGTACTAAAGTACTGTACTCGGTCCATCAAGTATTGGGCACAATACGGATTCATGGCTTTGGTTGACGCCACCAAACGCTCCAGTTGGCTTTCGTCTTCGGGAAATGTCAAATCCTCGGGAACCTACAGGTATATATATATATATAGCTAGATATATCTCGGTTGCAATGTCTGTAGCGTACAGTGTTGTTGGGCTGACGAATTATCTGTTGAATGTACGCTGCCGAGTCAAGCGGCGAGTTGCTACACCTTGGACGATGAAAGATCATGCAAAGTATTTGATTCCTGACCTGATCATTGAAACCACTGGAATCGACAAGCCCATCGCGGCAGTACTGAATGCAAGATAGCACTGCTCGAGTTTATCCGTTTCCTTGGCATAGCCTGGGGGGTAATTTTCTACATGTATACATAGCAGCCACTTAGGAACGAAAGTCAAGAAGACGAAGTACCTAGAACAACCCATATCTTGTCCATGTTGTGAGTCGTCGAAAGAGGGTGTGTTAACGGTACCGACGGACCTTTGCAAACTACACCAGTTGATGTCATGTCATCTAACTGTAAATATCAATTTTACGGTATCACCTGGTGTTGAATCTGGGCGATTTGATACGCAAATTCCTTGGTTTGAGCGTCATCTACATTATTCAGAAAATAATACATACCCCATCGGAGAGAGAGAGAGATACATTTTACAGGAATAGTATTGTGAATTCGCTATAACATCCAAGATACGCGTGGTTTGTCTAATCAATATTGAATCATGCTAGAGTTCTAATTGGTTGAATATACATCTCCTTTCTGTAAGAGCCAATCAAATCCACTCCAAAATTGGATTAGCCAATAGCGTCGATTCGTGATTCGATTCGGCGGCGAAATTCGATTCGACGGGGTCTGGAAATTCGTATCGAATCCACAATACCAAGGAAAATTGATTTCTCCACGACACAAATGCCAGTTTGGAGTCCCACGATGAGGCTCAATGGAGGATCCAACTCTCGAAGAAACACGTTGATACAGTCGCCCTGTCGCAAGGCTAAGGCTGCCACGTCATCCTACACATGACCGTACGATGAATCAAGCCAATTAGGGGATTCTCACCGATAAGGGAAAGTCCACACTGCTCAAGATTGGCCACGGTCCAGATTGATTGATGATGTTCGTGTTGAACTTTGTCTCGGGTGTGACAACGATAGGCTCGTCCTATTTCGAATAAATAAATCCTCATATTGTTTAGATAAAATCTGTCATTCTCTATAAAAATTCATGTATAAAAGGAATAACGTTACTATATGTATTGTGCTTTCGAGTGAAATTTCGTGTTGTGGTGTTGGAATTTAAATCGATTTGATTGGCTACCTCAGATGAGCTCAAAATTATTAGCCAATCAAAACCTTCTAAATGAAATTCAACAACCAATCAGATCGATTGTGGATCGGTTTGCGCGACCCAAATTTGTATCAAATCGACAATCAAATCAGAAATTCTGTTACATCCTGTGTAGAAAACGGATATAATTCGGACAACATGAAAGATGAAGTAGCGGGCGGTACCTCCTCTTGTTGGTGAACAAGGTGACGCAAGCGGAAGATATAGGCTGGCCCAAGTACCCGTTCAACTTTCGACCTTGTCACGCACGTGTGCACGAACGCCACGCACGCATCAGTGCCATGTTCGTCCAACACGAGCAACATTAATCTAGGCAATAATGACTGGGAGCACATAAGTAACACTACCGCACCGCAGCGTATGCACATAAAACAAGTCCCGGATGATTTCGGCGCGCTGGGTCTTTTCGTTTATGGTCGTAGACGTGTGGATTATTCGTTTCAGATCCTACCGTCACAATGACCATATGGTATGAATAATACATGGACATTCAAATGTCCGTACCAGGTACTTGGCTTGCACTTTTGAGCGCAACGAGCCAATCGATAGATGTTGCAACGCCGATTTCAACGGCGTTTCTTGAATCTGCAGGACCTTTTTGGACGATAAACTCCAAATCAACGGACGTGCAGCGTGGGAAATTGACTGGCTCAACGACGAATCCTCAGCATGGCCATTCGATGTGGTGTTTGCGGTGGAATGCTCAATTGTAGTCGACCGCGTGCGCAATCGTTTTCGACGACGATGGGCGGGTTCTTCCGGCTTGTGCCGCTTGTTTGATTTCTCGACAGAGTGCTCCTCAGGCGCAATGAGATGTGGAGTTGGCTGCAGCTCGCCGCCAGCATTGCAATGATGAGGCACGATGGCTCCTTCGTTCACTTCTTCGTTGTCCTACAGCACATGTGTAAGAACTCCATATTTCAACTTGTGATATTCTTACAGGAAACAGTATGTCCTTAAAGTTGGACGATGCAGTCAGCCAAAACGTAGGCATGTCAATTGCCAATGTGGACGGGGATATCCGCTGAAGAGCTGGTGTGTGGGACACGGCCAAGATATCCCTTGTGAACGCTTTGAACGACTCGATAAATGCGATTTCGTCGTGGGACCGGTGGACATGTGCCGATGGTGGCAGCAGCAACTGCTGGATCCGAACGTTGCAAGTTGACGTAGGCTGTGGAAACAGCGCGTCTTGCAAATTCGAACAGGCCGACGTGTGGTCTACGAATGTGTTAGAGCATCATCCTATACATTCAAGGTAAATAGTACCAAAGATGGACACGGAGAACGCTTTAGGGGTTGGACGCACGAGGTGGCCATCGAGCAAGGTACTTTTATACATGGTCGCGTGCATTTCGTCGAGAGACGTCGATGTCCTGCATGATGGCATGTTCGAACCAACGTCAAGCGGCTCAATCTCGACAAGCGGCTTGGTCATATGCGCGGGCGGTGAAGCGGCAGGGACCAACACGTCCAGATAGGTCCTTGGGTCGGGACAAGACATGTCGTCAAAGAGAAACAGAATCGACTGGCGAGAGTGCTCCCAATCAATGCCAGTCAGTTCAACGCAGCCGTCCAAAAGGGTGGGGTGGAACGCTATTCCGACAGCGGCGGTGTGGTGGTCGAAGGGGTCCAGGACATCGACCTTGTCGAACGCAACGTCTTGCGCCACAATTGATGGTTCTACATAGCATTGTCACATTGAAAGTAATAATATTAGAGTGATACCGTGTTGCGAAATCTTGACGGGAATAGTGTCGAGCGGTGTTTCAACAGAATCTTCCAACGCCGCTCGCCGATTCAATTCTTCGTACCAATTGCTACGCTTATGTTCATAATATCATCGACGTGTGTATCTGTGTGCTCACCAAGCTATTGAAATGGCTTCGTCTGATCCAGCAAGGGTAACATCGTCGTAAATGGGCATCGACATGCCTTGGACATCAATTGTCGATTCGATTTCGAGCTCAAATGGGCTATCAATTTTGCCCATCGGTTGCGTTTCGACAATATCGTCCACTATAAAGTCGTTAAAAAGGAAGTGTCCATCCAAAAGTGTCGTACCATTAGCTGCAAGACATGGTGCAACGACGTCGTCGTCGGAACGAGTACTCCATAGGATTCCATCGGTAATGCTGGCACATGTCACGTCGACATCGAACATATCAAACACCACGACGTCTCGAGGCAGTCCACCCGGTTTTTGAGCGTATTCCATGAGGTCCATATTGAACACCGCTTTTGGAAGCCGAACAATCTCTATCGATGGATTGTCGACATGCACTTCATGCCTTTTCAACTTAGCAAGGAACCTCTTCCTCGACGCCTTTGCTTCTTCTTCATATCCTGTTCATATACGCATCAAGTCATCATGCTCCTTTCGCGCTTCAAGAGATCGTACTCGTCCAGTTCGAGGGATCGGTCCTGAAGAACATCGTCACGGCGCGTCCACCCCGCACTTTCCACGCGCTCAAAATTTGAAAATGGCACCTCTGATATCATTATCCGGACAAGAACCAACATTCTGCCAAAACCCGAATGTCGCGTGGGCGTCAACTCCAAGTGTTCCGCCACTTGTGGGGCATCGAGCCGGCGGTGGACGTCGCAACCAACCTGAAATTAGTTCCCCAGCTCAAGGCGCTGGGATACAAGGGTGTCGAAGCCAGCTTGAGTGCGATTCAAGCGCACGGAGGAGCGGCATTCCTCGACGAGCTCAAGGCCCATGACATGAACCTCATTGTGGGGGTGTATTCGGGATGGACAGACTATATTCCTAATGCGTGGGAAGAAAAGAGTGCCGACGAACACCTCAAGCAGTTCGAAGACGAAGTGAACCAGGCGCATGCGCTGTCGTTGCGCCCCGTCATGCTAAACGCACACGCGGGTTGCGATCACTGGAGCGACCGCGATTGCGTCGAGTTCTTCTCCGCAGCCTTAGAGCGCATCCCCCATACCGGCGACATCCCCATTGCTCACGAAACCCATCGAGGTCGGGCGCTGTGGAACCCATGGAGAACATTGCACGTGCTCGAACAGTTTCCTTCCTTAAAACTCACGCTGGACTTTTCGCACTGGGTCGTCGCCGCCGAGCGCTTACTCGACTCGGAATGGGACCACCAGTGGATCGAGCGCGTTCTGCCGCACGTCCTCCACGTCCACGGACGCATCGTCTCGGACGAAGCGCCCCAAGTCATCGACCCGCGAGACCCACACGCCAAGCCCTTCGTGGACCGGTTCGATCGCTTGTGGTCGCAGGTGTGGCAAGTCCAAGCGCGGAAGAACCTCATCTCGACGTTCACGCCTGAATATGGGCCGTCGCCGTACACTCCGATGGCCCCGTTCACCGGCGCGCCATTGAGTGACGTGTGCGACGTGGTCAACTTCGAAACGCGTCGCCAACAAGCTCGCTTCGCCACGAAGTACAGTTTTCCACACTGATCATCTCGTGGTGGTGTTGCCGCCATCTAATAATGTGTCATTACTGGTTGAATTTACGATTATAAGATGATTATAATATGATTATCTCGTGTTGCGTTTAATGTTAGAATTCACGATGAAATCAGTACTGTTAGAATTCACTGTTATAATATAATTATCTCGTGTTGCGTTAAACGTTACAAATTCACGATTACTGTGAAACAATAGTATTAAACTAGGCACTTGCCATACTGAAACTCAGATACATTTGGTGATTTTATTTATACAGTGCTTGCAACTTCTTACTCTCCATAGTAGTCGCTCGCATTAAGGAGAGCCGAGACGTGTTTCGTGTCCAGTCGCTGTACGTCCGTGGGCACGAGTGCCTTCGCGGCCACGTCCGGCGCGTCGACGGGTGCCGTCTTGGCCTTCTTCTTCGCGTCGGCCGGTCCAGCCGACCCTGGCCGCTTCTTGTCGTCTGCTTCTGGCTTTTCAGGCTTGATGAGGATGTACCTTGGTTCTGTTTACACGAGGATACCATGAGATAGGTACCATCGATGAGCACGAACCTCCCGTCGCCGAGATGCTGATACGCTTGAAGTTGGTCGGGGAATTCTCAAAGTATCCCCTGTGTATGCATTCGCATGAGTACCAGAAAAGAGGGCTCCTAGGAGCATGTGTACGTACTTGATCAACGACGCTAGGGTGTCGCGCCCGCCAACTTCGTACTCAATGTCGCGGAAACTACACATCCATAAGCTTCTACGTTCAAGGGAGGCGGGCTCATGGAGGAAGAGCGCACCATTTGAAGATGGAATCCACCGTGTCGTCCACGGTGAGTCCCGTTGTGGACGCAGCCGGCTGCGGCGCTTTTTCAAACCCCTTTTGGATCAGCTTGAGACCTGACAAGACTCCACAGGGAGACTTGATCGCAGGTAAAAAGTAAAAGCGAGTGGAGCCAATTTTTAACGGCAGTTTGGGCGTCAACTGCACCGTCGTGCCCTTGTTAACTGGCCGACCTGGAAGACACAGCATGAGCCGACGACGAAACCAAGTGACAGAATGTACCTGCCACGTACAACGGGTTCTTGCCCAGGCATTCAAGCTCGAAGCACGACTTTTCCGCACTCCAATTGATGCGGGCATGCGTTCGCGACACCGACATTTGGTCCCCCAAGCAGATGCGTCCTTCTGGCTGGTTCTCCAACGACCCCCGGCCCAGCTCCACGGGCAGCTGGGTGATCACCACCTCGAATGGCTCAGTGTCATTCAGCTTGCCTTGGAGCTTGGCGTACGCAAGAGGCGGTCGCTTGCTCAAGAACTCCTTCTCAAGCTTCTTCTCGTCGTCCGTCACCGACGCCATCGTTAGAATTATTCGCGCCGTGTCAACGTTGTCATCTGATTGGATAAAATATAGATTCATTCTTCTTGCCGATTGGCCAAGCTCAAGATAACCAGAATCGAGCCGCCCTTCCACGATGAAGGCAACGGAGTCCGTCCATCGGCTATCTTCTATGTATGTACCCAAACCGAGCTCTATGTACGCTCGGCACAAAGTCTTCACTTCACGGGGAACACTCATGAGATGCCTTCATGACACCGACGTCATACACTCAACCACGATACTACGTACTTCCAAGTCCTAGTTCGTTCCTGCTGGGACGACTACTCACTCAGATACAACACATCCAATGTAATATCGCCTGGGCTGCTGTTTCCCTCCATTATTATGTCGCCTTTAAGAAGAACAAAAGCACTGGCTGGTGTCCCTATCGTCTCGCGACGTCAGGTCCTCTGGCCGGTGCCTTCCAGCAAGCAAAAACTGTTGAACCATTTACAAGCGGCCGCCCGTGCCGGCCAACGACTGGACGAGTTGGTCTTCGTCGCGGACGACCTTGGCGCCCTTTTCTTGGGCACCTTCTTCGTGCAGTTCCATCAACTTGGTCACGTCAAACTTGGGCTTCTTCAACACCTTCATCTTGCGCACAAACACGTTTTGGAGGGGGAAGATGCCTTGGCACGCCTTTTCGATTTCCTTGCCGATGATTTCGGGTTGGAACTTGAGGTACAAGTCCTTCAATTCCGACTTGGACGCTTGCTCCGTCATGATGGTCGTCATTTTCTTGCGAATTTGACGGATCTGCGCGGTTTGGGCGTAGCACGTCTTCTTTTGCTGGTTCGGGCGCTTCTTGGTGAACGCGATGCTGAAGAGGCGGACCGTGTACCCGTCCGTGGTCTTGACGTCCACGAAGGCTTCGATCAGCGTCTGCCACTTCTTGATCAACGAGCAGATTTTGTCGCGGGTGAAGTCCATGCCGTGGAAGTTCGTGATCACTTGCGTGCCTTGCACGTCCTCGACGGAAAGGCGCACCTTGCGGAACGATTGGTCTTCGTCCTTGTTGAGGTCCGCAAGGCAGACTTCAATCACGCGGCCCTTCAACCCTTCGGACGCGATCTTGGTACCGGCGGTGCGGTTGACCAAGGTCTTGCCGATGGTGCGGGTTTGGAAGATACCGGGGACACGAATGTCGTACCAGTCCTTGCGGGTGAAAGGATCGACGCTATAAAGGACATGACATGAGCCTACCGTGTCCTCCATACACATTCACTTACGCCTTCTTCTTGCCGCCCTTCTTGCCCTTGGTCAATCTCTTATTTTTGCCTACACATCACCTGATGAGCTCCCTGTGTCTCGTGGAATCGCGGGAATCATCCCACATGTCTTTCTCTCCTGCTCGGGACATGCATATATACAACATTCATAGAGAAGCATGCATCGTGGACTTACCCACAGCCATGTTGCGATATGATTCAAAGGCGAAATGAACCAATATAACATGGTTGGAGCTCAATCAACCAATAATTTTCGCACCACTTCATTGGTCCCCAGTGTGGTGTTCAAATCACACAGGTGTTCAAATTCATACAGGGATTCCGCCGACTCGGATAATAATGCACCATGTTTTTATTCCGCCATCATATCGCTACGTGTATTTTTAAACATAATAATTTATCGAACTTTGTGTCTGAGTTCCCATTGGCTAAAAATCCTTATCACTCCATGTCGTCCGGATACTGCTCGTTGATGTCCTGAATGACGGTCAGCACTCGTCAAAATCGCAATGGAACAAACCTCCATGCTCGTGGCAAAGTCTACTACACACTAACGTTAGCCCTTCCTTCGCCTAACCAAATCGATGTATTAGATGACGAGTCACTGTTACTGTAGCGTTGAGAAGCAGGTAGATGCAATGAAGTGAAGTGCAGGGACTGGCACTCGTCTGCGAATTTCAACACCGCCGCGGCATCGGTGGGACTTCCACTCGACGCCATTCGACAGTTAGGGCAGTTCATGAAAGTTGTAACTAGCTCAATGCAGTATCATGATTCATATACGACGTAGTCGATATGTGGAAGGGGTCGTTGTGTAGCTTTGAGATGGATGTGGAAGGAGGCGATGGTCGCCGTGCCAACTGGCGCAGCAAGTACGCGGCGGTTTCGCCCGTTCTTTCTGTGAAAACGGCGCTTGGGACTGTTTGGTCAAAAAACGTCCAATAAAAAGCCGTTATAATCACTTTAATGAACTGGATTGGCTAAAATTCATGGCGTGCAGTTTGGCTCTTGCGCCCCTTCAGTGCTCATTCTTCCACCGCATATCGTAACCTCATGGCGAAGCGCCCGTCCACGAAGTCGGTTGATGGCCGACAACAGCCTGTCAATGCAGCGAATCCTAGCCAAGTCCACACCAAGAAGCGTCTGCCGGTGCTTCGGTATCGGAAGAAGGTTCTAGACCCGTCGCCGGAGCCACAGCATGGCGACGACGACAACCAACTCGACGAGCCAGACGACACGACTTCGTCCTGCCACGACAACCAGAGTTCCCGTATGCGTGCTGCATGTACATATCCACGTCGTCCCTTTCTCATTGTCGCCATGTGTAGATGAATCGAGTCCCGTGAAAGTGCATCCGATTCCGTCGTCGAAAGTGTATGTTGTCAACGTCCAGGACTTTTTATTCCACCCGCGGCACATTGTGGTCGAGCGACACAGCACGATTCGATGGGAAATCCCCGCCAACTCCACCACGGTGCATTCGATCCATGTCGGGTGGACCAAGAAGAAACCACCCCCGTCTACCACCAACGCGCCGACGTTGAGCGTTGACACCCCTACGTTTGAGCACACGTTCGACACATTAGGAACAATTCGGTACTCATGCGCGCTGTACTCGTTCATGACTGGGTCGGTCACGGTCGTGGCGGCGTTGACACCCGACGACACGTCGCGGAACGCTGTCTTTCTCGACTATCCCCATCCGCGAACGGTCCCCACGTCGCCCCGGAAACAAGTCACCGTCCCCTTCCACAAGCAGCTCGTCACGTGGCGGGAAAAGCAGCCCCCGCGGCCCAACGTAGAAGACGACGACACATTTGCCCGCAAGTCGAGACAGCGCATCAAGACCAAAGCCAACGCGGCCACCAAGCACCCCCAGTCCCCTGCCATAGATGCCACCCCCTCTCCACTATCTACACCACCTGCTACCCCTAGTACTTCTCCCAAAGCAACGACACACTCCTCCCTGTACGTCGCGCCGCTGACGGCGGCAACCAGTCCCACCAACCACCACGTGATTCTCCTCCAAGACTTTGCATTCTCCATCACGAAAGCGTCCGTGGTGGCGGCTGTCGGCGACGCTGTGTCGTGGGAGGTCAGTCCCGAGAACCCCGGCATGGTCGAACATGCACTGCAGCTCCGAGTGTTGGATCAAACGACTCTGGTCCACACAGCCACGTCGCCGCCGCTCAAGCCCGGCGACCGCTGGGGCTTCGCCCTCTGGCAGCCGTGCACGCTGTCCGTCCGGTGCGTCGTGTACGATCTGGTCTGCCCCAGCGTCCAAGTGGTGCGGCCCCCCTCCGCCTCGGAGGTCGACCAGCCACCCCCGCCCACCGACGTCATTTTGATCGGCGACGTCGCGTGTCCTGTGGCCACCGCCGTGTCGTCCCCACCGACCGAGGGGGCGGACGAAGGCAGCATCCTTGAGCTTCTGCACAAGTCGACGCTCAAGCAGCGCGCGTCGCGATCGAGCTACGAAGTGGAACATGGCCGAGCCATTCCAGGCTTTGACGCCGCCGCCGCCTACGACTTGATGAAACAACGTACGTATGGTTGGAACTAGTCAGTACAGTATGGGTAAACTGATGGTGTGGGTGGTCGCTGTAGGCTCGAGGGACGCCAAGCTGGATCCCCATGTCGTGTACGCATGTAGTCGCCGTACTGTCTTGTAACACAATCAACCACATACCATAGTGTGCTCCAGCTATTGTACCAGTGGGTGGGTTACGTACCGGCGGCTACATCGGGAATAGGAATGCCCTCAAGCATAGACTTTCTTGAGATAGCATCACTACAGTATGTAGCCAGTCCTGCACTCAGTAGCAACCACCTTAAGTGTAAATCACCCCGAAATACGACCGAGTATACTGTAGAGATGCGGTGAAGCCTACCAAGCCGTGCCCCAAACCACATAGGTCGTGATGACGATACATTTGGTTCTTGTTAGGTAAACTCGCGATACAGTCGATGCGACGGAAACATGCCCTGGGTTTGGGCTGGATGGTCGCAGAACTGGGCGGCGTCTGGTGTAGTGCTGCAGAACGGCGTGGCAGCCAGCGACAGCGCAGGGACCTGAGTCCGCCACGTGTCAGTCAGACTCGATATGTTGGTCAGGTCTGCGAGCACTGTGGTGAGGGCAGGGAGTGAGGTGAGGTCATGCGGAAGAGAGTCAAGGCGGGGGTTCTTGGATACGCTGAGTTCCCACAGCATGGGCAAGTGGGCGATGGCGTCGGCGTTGCTCAGGTCGTTGTCGTATAACGACATCTGGTTGAGCACGCGGAGGTGGTCGATGGACGTTGGTACGCTGGTGATGTGGCATGACTCGAGGAACAGCGTGTTGAGGCCTGCCCAGGCTGCAAATGTGTCGTTCGAGACATAAGATACTTTCGCGTTGACGATTTCAATGTCGAGGAGCGTGGGGGGTAGCGGTCTCTGGTAGATGGCCGGCGGGATCTCAACCAAGTCGGTCCTGACGAGCAGGAGGTACGACAGTGACTGGAACGCATCGGCGGTCAGCGCGGCGGTCGTGGGCCAGTCGACGATGGTCGAGTTGAAGATTTCGAGGCCAAAGAGCGACTCGAACCGGTCGAGGGGCGGCACAACGAGGTCGGGGCAGTGGGCCAGTATGAGCAGCTGGAGGTTGTGGGGGTCCAGCGTATCGAGCACTTGGGGGAGCTGGTCCTGGTCGATTGCTCGGGCGTGGCAGTTGACTAGCTGGATCACACAGCGGCAGTCCGTGGCGAACCAAGGGTACACGCGGCTGAGACAGCCGTGGGGACAAGGCACCTGGAGCGTCTTGGACACGTCGGAGAAGGTCACGGCCAAGAAGAGGACACCGACGCCCCAGAGGAGGCCGACGACGCGGCTCCACACGACGGCAACGTGCAGGGCCACCTTGACTTTGGTCGAGTGCATGTGCTTTCCGCGAGAAGGAGGCGGTGGCGTCCTTCGAGGGTACAATTGGGGGTGGTTGTGCACGGCGTAGTTGATGGTCGGGTGATGGTAGTCGTGCGCGACGGACACGATGCCTTCCAAGTTGGCCAAGCTCAAGTACGCCAGCACACACGGCAGGAGGCGGGAGCAGACGTCGCTGAGGTCGTTGAGGAAGAACCGGCGACCCAAGAGCGCAGCGTCGTAGAACCACACGTCGTCGTACAGGTGGCTGGTCTGAACCTCGTCGTCCCATGTAAAGTACGCTAAGTACGGCGCCACCGACAGCCATGGCAGCCCGCACTCGAAGAACGCCGTGAACCCCACGGTCGTCCAGATTGCCGCGGTGCGCTGGAGAACGGGGCGCATCCGGATGGTGAAAAGGAGCGGGGCCACGATGCAGTTCGCGGCGAGACACCCCGCCATGAGCAGGTTCAGGCGCGTTGACGTCGACAGAAACGTGACTTTGAACGCCTGGTACGTGTGCAACGCAATCGACAAGCCATGAGAGACGCTTGACCGGAGGCTAAAGTACTCTCCCTGGATCCCAAACTGCCCTTTGCCGATCAAGTGTTTGGTATAGAGGTGCCACAGCCGCCGCACCAACGGATGGCTGGGCTCGAACCCTCCGCGCTTGGACATGTCCCTGATCGCGCGGACCCGCTCCAGGCGCGTCGTCTGCCGCCGATTCCACGCCATGTTGACCAAACCGTACACGTGGAGCATCCCCACGGCGCAGCACATGACGACGGGCACGCGCAAGTCGTCCTGCAGCCGCATCGTCCGCCGCTCGTACTCGTGGCGTCCGGACGAAACGAATGCGTGGGCGTATGCCAACAAGCCTAAGTGCACGGCGAATGCCAAGCGCAGGCACGCCATCCACGCCCACAGAGACCAGAACCCAGTGGGGCCGAGCCGGTTCTCGGGCTCCCGCCAGCTCTTGGCCTTTTCAAACCGAATCGACACCATCGAGTGAAGGAACGACGTGCGCAACCGCGGCAGCAGTGACCCCATTGGTCGTCGCGTGGCCAGCTGTGGTCGCGTGGACATGGTCGACCCGGCTAAGAGTATTTATACTGCTTGAAATCATGAGTTGTTTAAGGAGTTACTAGTACGTCGGTTTCGTACATGCCACATCGACACGGCCAATCAAAGTAGAAAGTGTAACAGTACCGCAGACAGATCGTCAGGCCTTGAACTACTACTAGTAGTACTTCCTGGATTAACGTTTGGCTGACTACTAGAATGCCCTCGGTCGCCTATACATTTTTTCGATTAGGGGGGCAACTACAGCACTATGCGCGTTTCATTTGTTTCGAGGACATCGAGTCGTCGTCATTGCGTCGAGCATTCTTCTTTGCCTTCTTCGCTTTGGTTTTTGATTTGTTCCGACTGGTGGTGGCCATCACATGCAACACTTCCACCAGGCGGTGCTGGTAAGCAAAATGTTGCAACATCGTGATGGACGCGGCCGCCGTGTCCGTGACGGGGGTGTGCACGATGCGCTGGCGGACGACCGGGAGGCCGAGGGCGGCCGTGGCGCGTCGAAGGGCCTCGTGCGTCGGCAACACTTCCGTCGGATGAAGACTCAGCAGCACCGCCACCGTCGCCGCGCCGCCACTCGCCGCAGCCGGTTCCGGGGACGCATACATGGCATCCACCAACGTTTTACCGACAACACCACCGTCGTCATCACCGTCGTCCAGGTCCAAGACCACGGACGGCGCCACCGCCGCTGCCATCCACGCCGCCATGGCTTTCCCATCCTTCACGTCGTGAATGGATGTTGAATTCACGGCAGCACCACTACTTTGGCTGATTATCGCTTGCAAGATTTGAAATTCCGTCGGCGCCGCCTGGTGTTGCTCTGCCATACACGTCACGAACGTCTCTTGTTCAAACGTGACGTGGACGCCGTCTGCGAGCAAAAACGTCAGCGTCGTCGTCAAGGGGGGTGCTACTGTCGAGTCTGCGAAAGTTGCCGAGCCACGATCAACGTTTCCAGGGGGGGAGGGGGTCCCCTCGGTAGAGATGATGTCCCCTTGTATTGACGAGGATGTGCGCATGTAGTGGGATCGCCACAGCGTTACGACGGTGACCCGCACCATGGCCCACAGGGGGCCCTGCCGCTGGCCCAGCGCTGTCGAGAGGTCGGCTTGGCGCAGGGGGACGCTGCACAGCACATGCACATGCATGGGTGACGTGGACGAACCAGTCGATGATGTTTCGTGTTTCGTTGAAGCGGTCGTCAATTCGTGTTTCGACGACGCGAGTTGGTGCAGGAGCGCGGGGCCGAGCACGCCGCGAGCCTGGTGAAACGCTACGACGCTGAGGATTTTGCTCGTGAATTCCGGCACCGCGCCCAGCCGGACGCCGGTCAGCGGGATGTTCTTGGACGCGCAGACGCGGCGCAGAAGGGCGTTCTCGGAAGGATGCATGTCGCGCACGGCTCCGAGGAAGAGGACTACGTAGAGGTTGGGGTCGGCGGCGGGGAGCGGCGGCGGGTTGAAGCATGGAAGCTCCGACTCGCACGACTCATGGAGGTACCCCGCGACGACGGACGCGGAAGGAACATGCAGAAGCTCTGCGAAGATGGACTCCAAAGGAGATGCCGACGATGAGGATTTGGGCGGTTTGTGCTGGGATGTCCATTGATGCCACGCCTGCATCAGCGCCTTTTTGTTGGTTTTGCGAAGGACGACGTCGGGTTTGCTGTTGAGACCATGCTCCCGAAGGAAGTCGAGGGAGCAATGCGCTTGGATGTGCTCCAGCACTTGGCGCTTGCTGTCCATGTGCTGGACTGCCGCAGCCGACGACGTCGACGCACCCGACTCGGGCACGCGCTCCACGCGACAGGTCCATGGCGAGTCAAAGCGGTCCTTCGACGCAGACGACGACGACGCTGCGGCGGACTTCCACGCCGACACAATGTTCTGTTCCGTGGGCAGCAGGCGGCACGACAGCGGGTTGGCCACCGTCATGTGGATGCGTGCACAGTCTTCGTCGTGCAGCAGCACCAGTTCGCGACTGCTGCAATGCGCTGACCAAGGGCCATGGAGGAACGAAGACACACATCGCACCAGCGCATCCCGTCGGTTCCACCACTGACTCTCATCGCGCGTCGGTCGGTAGGACGCCGCGTCGCCGCCGCGCCCTTTGCACAGGAGCACCACTTTGACGTGGCACATCCCGCAGTCCAATCAACCTACAACCTGCAAATTATTATCCGGAATACGCAATCATCATCCGGATACATTTTTGTAACTGACATTTCAAAACCGTTACAGACAGCATATGAGAATGCTACGAGTACCTAGGGGTGCTTCTTGGCCAAGATCGTCTGCATCCTTCGCTGGTTACGATGATGGATACAGTACTACTAATCTGCGATACAGCGTGATTGATGTATAGCTTTGCCCTCGCTCCCCTTTTACCCACCAAGAACTACTATCAGTAGCTCCCTCGGCATCCTTCTTCCCATCGAATATGTAGCATGCATAGCCCAACGAATAATGGTTCGAATACATATATAATATAAATTAAGACACGCCATAAATATATATATATATATATATATATCGTTCGTAGCCACAAAGGTACAACCACATATGCGGCGGTCGTCACTGGTACTTGCACGCAAACTCCCACACTTCAAAGTTCACCACGCCAAAGTTGCATCGACTCGCCAAGCACCTAGAGAGCACACACATCACACTGTGTCACATATTTCCCAGCCACACTACGGTAGCAAGCAACGCCACTTCGTACCGATTGTCAAACGTCATCGTGGGGGTGCTCGTGCCTTGAGATAGGTCGTGGTTCAGCGCCCACGCAAACCCGCCCCTACTCCACCAGAATCATCGTTCCATGAGGTTGGTCATGAGATGGATGGACGGATGAAACGGACCCGCCGCCCATGGCAATCGTGTTCTCGTCGCTGAACAACAGGAGCGAATTCTTGCGTGTCCACGGAAACATCTCAAACTTGCGGTGACATGTAAACACAAAGCTCTCGCCCGTGCCAAAGTACAGCCCGCATGGCGTCCACGGCGCCGTCGCAAACCCGCCAAATATGTCGCCATCTTCGGTTTCCACGACGACAATGGTCGATTCCTGTCGTCGGACGCGGCGGAACAGCGTGTGCAGGGACGCGCCATGCTGCGCCAGACTGAACGACAGCTTCCAGTTCTTGTGCTTGAATCGATAGGGCAAGCATGCTTCAATCTACGACCACGACGATGATGATGATGTGATGGATGGTGGTCGTGATGGGGACGACGATGAGAACACAGCTACCTTGGGAACAAGGTACTTGGTAACCTTCGGATCGGACAAGATGTCGGCGGCAGTGCCGCCAAGGAGTTCGGGCATTTCGTAGATCGGCGACGAAGACGACGATTTCATCGGCTTTTCAGACATGGAACGTACGAGCAGAGATGACGGGTGCTTTCGGTCGTCGTCGTCCGCGTGGTGGTGGGTGCTACTTGCAGCAGACGTCATGGGATGCACCTGCAAGGACGCGAATGCACCCGCGACTTCCTTCGTGGGGAGGGACTTTGGTGCAGGTACTGACGGCGCGCGAAGGGTGGAGTGGATTGCTGCATGGTTCAACGATTGCGATCGGGTTTGTTTCTGGGATTTGTGTTCGTGGGTACTCACCGAACGGCGGTGTGGCTTGGCCGCATTGCGCTTGGCTCTAATGACATCAGTCAGTGCGGAACGTGGGCTATAGGAACAGAGAAGAACGGACGGAAGGGCGGACATACATGTCATGATGTCGATCGACGCAGGTAGGGTCATAGTCGCTCCAAGGGTTTTGCATCATGAGGAAGTAAGACGGACCTGGCGAGATGTCGGAGATGAGCACCATGCTGCTCTCTGGGTTGTTGCGGACTGAGATTCCTCGCGTCGTCGTGCCACTTACAGATCCGTGCGAAGAATGCTATGCTTGCACATGTCCCACGTCGACCGGCCGCGACATTCGAAGGAAGTTTACCGAGGCCGGAACATTGAGTTTCAAACGTTTCAAACAACATATATTTGCAGTTAAGGCAGTGAAAATGTGTTTAAAACGAGATACCACAGTTTAAAACGTTTGGCTGACGCGTCTGTTTCCCAAATTCCAGAGGTTTTTACGCCGATCAGTCAAAATAGTCGATACAGGACATTGAAGTTGAATCCAAAATCCAATTTGCTACTGGTACTGTATCTCATTTATAGGCGACCGTACAGTGTACATGCGAGGACGGATTGTCAGGGGTCATTCGTTGCGCTTTGAATGTACGGTCGTCGCCCTGCATACTATGTACTACTAGTATTACTGTAGCAATAGTGACTGCCAGGGCTTGTTCAGGTGAACTCCTACGAATCTGTACTCCTACTAAGCGTATGGCCGCCAGGTTCCCAGACTTGCCAAGTTACTGTAATTAGTACTGTACTGTATGCCCTTCAAACCTACACCATGCACAGTACCGTACTACGTATGTATACTAACGTAACTATTACTACTATATATCCTTGGCATTGTCATTGATGTACAGACCAGTATGCCACCTACACCAGTGCTTGGGTCGTTCAAGCGGGCCAGCACGGGGGGGTCGGGTCGCCTAACTGGTACGATTGTGTGAAGTAAAGTACCTTCTTAGGTATTAAATAGTATCGTTCTTCCTACTAGTACTACAGTAACGCAATGCAACCTATTCGTACTGTACACTTGTGTGACGGGCATAGATAGTACTATGCGTGTCTACGCTACATATTCTTGCTCGTTTGTGTCTTGCAATCGTGATGTCATTGACGCGGGGGGGGGGTGGAATCCCGAGGGGGGTGAGACTCCCAGTGCGTGTCTTTGCCATCTATAAGTTATAGTTGTCGCACACGAGCTCAAAACCAGGTCCAAGGCGGGCGTCGCTCGAAGGCAGCACTTCTCGACCATCATGCAAAGGAAGGAGAGGTAAACGAGATACAAAGGGGTATTAGTTACGAGATGGAGGAAGAATTATGGTTTGTGCCTTGAACCTTGCATGGCAGTCATATATTTTATGCTTTCAGACCTGTCAGCTTCACATAATTATTTGGTTAACGTTAGATTTCTGTCAAAACAACGTCTGGGACTGATTTAATTATGGGTCGGAATGATAATAAAACTTGTACTACTACAAACAGTGGGAATGATGATCATTTTTGACTGTGCTCACGTATAAGTTTTGTAAATTTATATTTGTACAACATACATTTATACAGGTATGGAGTATATTTGTGGTAAAGTGTAGATGCAATAAACTTTATAATATAATAAATTGTACCGTAACCTTACACTCGTGCAATCACTTTTGGACTGAGGTATACAGTAATTAATATTAATGTGATTAAGAGTATAACATGACAACTGCACTAACGTTACAGTAACTTATTGCACTGTCAACCATTGAAACAGGACTCACGCGTGCAAATGCTGAGCCTGCAATCAATGTATTCATTTTATCTGCAAACAAATATTTGCTTCTCTGAGTCCAATACTTCTGTACTACGCTCCAACACACAAAGGCTTACCGTTGGCATTTCGCAATTCAAAGGTTGATCAATCTGGATGCACGACCGACGTTCAATCTCGGCCGAATCCATCGTAATCGGTCCTGCACACACTCAAATCTGTTGCGATGTTCATACCAGTCTGTGGATTCGAGGTCGATTTTGCCATACACCAGTACTGTACTACACCTTTTTGCAGTTAAGTTGGACGAATGCCCGATGTATTTGGCCGTGCACCCGATATATTTGGTGGTGTGCCCGATATAATTAGCCATGTGCCCGTTAAATTTGGCCCGCCGAGGTCGTGTGCCCGATATATTTGGCGGTGTGCCCGATATAATTAGCCGTGTGCCCAAGCAATTGGCCATCTGCCCGATGAATTGTGTCGTGTGCCCGATGAATTGTGTCGTGTGCCCGATGAAAATAGAATAACTCAAATTAAAAATTGAACTCAATTAAAAAATGCAGTCGAAATGATACACATAACATCCTCGTTTTGGCATCACATGCCAACTTCCATGTCGTCCATCGCCTCCGCGCGTCCGTAAAAGTATTGGAGGCGTAGCGCGTATCGATTCAAACGGTTAGCATCGACCCCTATTCAAACTTTTAAGAAATGCAATAATGCTGCGAAAGTTACCAACGATAACCTGTTCAGCAATTCGCTCGAGATATTGAATTCGGAATTCATCTCGAGTCAAACCATTCGGTGGTGGGCCCATGAACGCGGCTAGTGGCTCA